CACTAAAATTACCATTAAAAAAAATATTAAAATAGATAATAGTTTTAGTAATTGTATATGTCAGAATCTTAAGTGTAGGTAGAAGCATTAAGCATGGTCTGTTATATAATATTATGCTACTTGTAGAAGCTTTTTACAATTTTGTGCACTGTTTTTGAAAGTTCACAGAGAAGACGTGAAATGGCCAATGAAAAAGTTGACAATCCTGCTTTTAACAGAATAATAGTACTTACAAGATTGCCAAATATTACAATATCTTATTTGTTAGCTACTTCTGTTTCTGTAACATTTATTGTTATTGATTGTAAAAGGTATAACGCTCATTTGAGCTGTTACGTATAACCGTTGTATCTGTGCTCTCAACATAAATTTTACTCACAGTGAACATCTTGTGTTATCTATGACTTCTGTATTTTCATATTTTTTTTTTTATAAATACTGACATGAATTCATTTCCATATAAAGATTTGGTCAGTGCACTTCAGTTGGTTGTTTATAAGTGTGGATTTAACTTTGAGTGTTATTCCATATTCTACCAAGGAGGCGTGTAGTCATATGACTACAAGCAGTGCAATTTAAAGAAGAATGGGCCTGCCTAATCATATTATGTCATGCCTTAGTGGAATTTGCTGTCGATTACAGTTTGGAAGAATCTTTTGACTTCACATATGACAAATTCATAACAAAATGCTGAGTTTAGCACATTCAGTATAAAATATATTTTTTAAGTAAATGAAAGAATATTGTGTCATAATGGCACATGCTTGTGAATTGTGTGTCATGTTCATTTTATGTGCATATGTGCTGATTCAACTATACTGTATGTTTAAAGCAAGTCTGTTTAAACTTAATTAATATGTCTGTTTTTTAGAACAAAACTGTCATAAACTTAAAAGTGTGGTTAGTGTTCTGTCAAAAATTTTTGATAGGCTGTATTAGCGTAATGTGTGTGTGGAACTTGTTTACTATAATTAAAAATGTATGCCCAGTGGACACCGAAGCAGGACAATGAATTGTTTGACCATCAGTGCTTGTTTCTTATATCCTGAAGAATGAACACTTACAATAGCAGTTGAATTCTTTATAGGTTATTATAATAAAGAGGATCATTAAATGTTGTACTAGCACTTGGAGTAAGGTTTTTTATTTTACGTGCAACATTTGATGTTATTTACTACTGTATTTCATGTTATTATAAATAATGATCCCTTGCAGAATGATGTGCAATCTCACCTACTGATCAATTTTTCCATTCTTTCATAATAATTTAAAATGATCTATGGTCGATCACAAGTCGAATTATTTACTAGGTTACTTTTGGTACCTTTTTATGAAGTTCATGCATTAATATGCTGACAATTTTTGAATAGTCTATCAGGATCTTCCATATGCTCTGGCCGTGATTCTCATGTCTTCCTTGATCACAAACTCCCCAAAATATCATTTACATCTTATAAGATCAGTTATGTATGTGAGAGAGGAAGGAGGACCGATACGTAGATTAGGAATTAAAAATTAAAATGTATTTTCTTCATGTAATATTTTAAAACATATTTGGTATGAAAAATATGACATTCAAGCACACATCTTTTGCATCACAACATGCCAGACTCCCCAGATTAGCAATGAGGAAGAAACAACAGAGTTGAATAGGAGACATGCTGAATAATCTCACCTCAAGAAAAGAAATATATTTACAGGTTCTCTACCTAAGCAAATAGGTAGAAAAAATGAGTTTATCCCATACAATAAAAAAAAACATAATATCTAGGTACTATTCCCTCTTTCTTTTTTAGCAAAGAAATATATTTTACACCATGTAATGGGAAAAGTTCACTGCACATCCTCAGCAAGATTAAAATGAACATTCTAGACTAGACTAATTGGCTAACAGAGCAGCCGCTGTCAGTTTAGATTCTGCAGATGAAAGGAAAAATAATAAAATCCTTTAATTGCAGGAGAATGAACAGAGACAAATGTTTCACTTAGTGAGGGGTAATAGAAAATATTTTGAAAAGCTGAAGCAAGAGTCGATGAATAATCATTCCAAACAGGAGAACATAGCTATTCACTCAGAATCCATGTTGAAATGTCAGTGCAATGGTGGTGAAAACCCATAACAATTAAACAAAAATGAAATGGATCAGTATGGATGGCATTGCACGTGATGGACAGTGCACAGTAATGTGTGTATTTCCATCAAGTCTCGGCCTCGTTGTTGAATATAGTTGAGAAAAGTTAAGATTAAATGGGAGCCCTATAAGATATTTTTATATCATATAAACATATATTAAAATAGAGAAAAAATAAACTTTGGAACTCAAATTTTCTTAACTTTTTTCAAATATTCTTTATAAAGCAAGTAGAATTTCAGAAGGATAGTAGTAGGAGAGACAGCAGCTATCACGTAAGGAGGAAGGAGTAACCAGTATATAAGAAGAGGTGACCACCACTGAACAAGGAAAGAAAAACAACCGTGGTATAGGAATTCAAGTGACAGTGCTCAGGGTAGTAAAGAAAATGTCATTAGAGAAGAAATTGAAATTAGTTTTAGCCTGAGGTTCAAAAAGACGGATGAGCTTTGCATATCAGAAAAAAGTTCCGTGACATGAGAAAGTGTCATGTAGGAAAAGCCGTGAAAAGTTCTACTGAGCCACACAATAAACCAAAAATGTTGTTAGATAAAGAAAGGGCATGCTTCTTGAGCAGAAAATAGAAGATGTCAGCCACCTGATCCAACGTGGACGATACATAGGTGATTGACAGAATATTTTCAACATATGAAGATTATTGACTTGTTGCAGGAAATTCGGTTCTTCTGAATTTCAAACTGATATGGTAGTGCCAGAAGTTCAGCTGTAATCTATAACCAAATGCTTTTGCTTAGTTGGATGTCAGAGGTTGTGCAACAGAAAACTGATATAGCAGAGAAACAAAGGTAATTAGACCAACAGCAAATGTTAGCGTCTGCTTGAGCCAAAGAACAGCATCCAGCTGTAAGAGAAGTTTCCGCAAACATAGAAGCTGAGAAAAGAGCCAAGATAAGTATTCTGAAGGTGATGAAACCCTTGTCCAGCCACCATTGGAATTCAAAAGTAGTGGTAGGACTTGGAGAGACAGCCAGTTAGTGGAGGGGTCCTTAGAAAGACTATTGTCATTGTGGTTCCACTGAAGGTGTAATTAGGCCTAACCTCTTTCTCTAGGTTTAAGTCCTCAGAGAATGATAATCTTATCCAGATTAAAGCAGTTGTTTAGAAAACTGCTTTTCTGATAAGAACCAGGTAACCAAACTTGATGGGGAGGGGGTTTGTACTAACCCCTCCTCCACTTGATTAATACATCCAGATGGGATCACTCTTGGGACCAAAGTAAGATACGACTTATGGTTATCAATACACTCTCCATAACTAGACACAATGAACCTGCACCAGAAGTTTCATACCATACAAGCACTATTTACACAAATATGGAAAACTTTGGGTGCAGTATAACTAGGAACATAAAGGTAAGTGAACTGAATGTCCAAGCTGATCAACAAGCTATGAAGACTATAAAACAAACCAATTTTGGGCATCCTCTGTCATTGGAGTTGAACTAGAGTGAGTTTGGATGGCTTTTTAATGTTATCAGTTTCAGAGGAATGTTGAACAGAAGTAGGCACACTCAGTACAGACTGGAAATGGCCATACCTATGTGGAAGACAGCTTCCTGGGGTAATACATTGTCCACAGGAATTCTATAAGAAGCCATTCATGCCCAGTTGTTAAGTTAGGGTCTGAACAACACTGGTAATATCCACCCAGAAACAAAAACATAATTTGTTAAAGAATAAGAAAATGTAAAATTTTCTTACAATAGTTCAGAGCAGTAAGTCTTGATTTTTCCAAACTCTTGGTAAATCATTTATTGAAATATAGAAAAAAAGCTGGATGGCGTGATGTCCAAGGATTCAACTCCTGTTTTTGGGTCTTGTGTCAAATTAGCTAAAGTAGAGAGAGTACATGGAAGCTACTGGTGGGCTGCAGATTAATAAAAATTGAAATTATAGTGTAATGCAGATATCCTATACTATAGTGTGCATTATACCAAGATTACCTCCGTACATGTATTTCACTTTGAGAAGATCCTGGGACATTTTGAAATTTATGTAAAAAGTAATACTTTAATATTCATATTGTTTTTCATCAGAAAGTTTTATGAGCGATTGATAGGTATGCAGAATCATATTAACATTAGAATGTATCTTTTAGCAGACATATTTGTAAACTTAATTTCAAACATATAACTAGCATTATACGATGCACTTGGATTAAAATTGTTTAATAATGTAACATTTGTTTCAAGCACTTTTTTTTTTTTTGAGAGAAATATATAATGTCTTTTGCTACTAGAATTTTTGTATTGGTTAAGAGTTAGTATGTATTTTTTATAACTCGGTTACAATGAATCCTAAGATAGCTACATTATCTACATTCTTTGAACTACCTTTCATTTTCTCATTAGATTTTACTTGCTATATGGTATTTGTTTATTTAGTAGTTTGACTTTTATCGTAACATTCTGCTTGTGTGTGTGTGTGGCTGAAATTTTTTAGATATAATGCTGAATTTTTTATAGACATGTTATGGATGTTATATGTAATTATAATATTATTTTTTACTTGTTTGTTGTTGCCACTTGCAAAAATTTCATATTATATTGCATTTATTTCTTTAGAAAAAAAACTGTTGATGATATAATCCATGTACATACATATTTTGTTTATATTTTAGTTAGATCTTGTTTTCTTTTGGTGCCACTTGAAGGCAAAAATATGCAGAGCATATACAGCTTTTTAAAATGGTTTTGTTTTTTACACAACTGTCATGTTGGTAAAATTTGAACTTGTTTTCATTGTGGTTTGAATTTGTTTTATAATTCAGATCTTATTTTTTAAGCAAAACAATTATGCCACTTTTTGCTCAGTTGATGACAAATATATTCACCTCTAACCATTATAGGTGAAACATTTGCCGAACTATGGAGAGAGATTTCCTGTTGCAAAAACAAAGAATTGGAAGCAGAAGTTTGTTAAAGCATTAAATGGTCTTTGTTTACAACTGGAAAAGTGTTTTGGAAGGCAGAAAATGCATATAACAACTCTCCGTTACTTCCAAAAACACAAAAATGATATTCGGATGGTTATTGAAGAAGGCCCACATTATTCAGAAAATGAGAAAATCTTATTGCCAGATGATGTACTATTATATAAAAGATCATGCTTAACAACAACTTCTGCATTGTCTAGTAGTTTGCATGAGTCAAAATCTGCTGAGTCTACAAGACATAAAAAAGAAAGGGAAGATTTAGATGACATGAAAACATCCCCAGATTCTAAACCTACTAGTTCCACAGAAGAATGGAAAAATATGTCAAATTCTAATATTCAAGAAATGAATAAGAAAACTGAATCAACTACCAATTATATTGGTATTAAAGAAGAAGAAGAACTAGAAACAAAATCTAATTCTGGATTGAGAGGATTAAAAGAAAAAATCATCTCATCCAGTTTAGGTTCTTCGGGAGATTCTGAATCTCTAAAAACTGCAGAAGCTAATGAAGGGGAAAAAATAGGAACAAAAATGATCAAATCTGATGCTGAAAATAGCATTAAGACCAGAAATATCCAGAGGCTACCTGAAGTTGAAGTTAAAGAGGAAAAAATCCAGTTGGGTATTACAGAAAATAAAAAAATGGATGATGTAGCTTCTCAAATTCAAGAATGTGCCAAAAAAATGCCAACAGTTAGCAAAGTTGACAAGCCAAGTGAAAAAGGTACACTAAAAGATAAGAGGAAAGAACTGTCTACATCTGACAAAAGCCAGGAAAAGGAAGAGAAATATAAAACTTCAGCTGAAAGTGGCAAAAGTAACAGAAATGATAAAATGCAGACAATCACGAAAGATTCCAGTGGTGACACAAATCGACAAGTAACCCAGAAAGTTTCTAGTGGTGATAGATACCAGTCCAAGCAAGACAATAAGAATGATTCTCCAGGTGACTATAAATGGCCAAGTGAGAAAAATAAGGTCATTTCTCAAATTGACAAAGAACAGTCAAAGGGAGTTTCTTTAAGTGATAAAGACCAACAGAAAGAGAAGACCAACACTGCTTCTCAAAATGATATACAATCTCTGAAAGAAAAAAACAAGAGTGTTATTCAAAGTGATAAAAACCAGCAAGGTAAAAAGAGGGGGAGTAACTCTCAAAGTGATAAAGAACCAGAAAATAAAAAGATGAAGAATGAAACTCAATATAATAGAAATCAGAAGGTAGATAAGAGCACAGGTGCTTTGTATGTTGGGAAGAACCAAAAATATATTTCTTCACAAAGTAATCAAGACCAACATAAAGAAGAAAAAAGAAATCTTCTAAGTAAAAAAGAGATGCATAAAGAAACCCAAAACAGAGATGGTTGTATGACTAAAAGAGATGAAGAAAGAGAAAAGATTAGAACAAATTATTTCAAGAAAGACAAAGATGGGGACAGTGGGACTACTTCAAGAAGTGGTTTGGCTCAACCGAATGAACAGAAAAAAAGTACAAGTTTAGCCATAAGAAATGATCGAATCAAAATTGAAAAGAATAGGGATGATCAAAAATATGTCGGTAAACACTTTGAAGAGGATGGAAGGAAAAAGAATATCAAACCAAGGCAAATGACAAGGAATGAAAATTACAAAAATAAGCAGCATGTTCCAATGAAAAGAGAACACTCCCATGATTATTTTGTGATTAAGAGAAAAAGAAGCAGAAGTCCAACCAAACCTGGTGAAAGAAGTACAGGTTTCAGCAGAGACAGGCAACAGTCCACTTCTAAAAATAGCAGTTATTGGATCTCTTCAGATGACTTTAAGTCTAAAAGAAGTAGATCTAGGACCCCTAGTGTTAACAAGAATCACAGAACTGGTTCAAAGTGGAATACAAACATAAAAGAATTGGAGACATCTGCAGTTCCAGAAATGAAGTCAAGCAGTCCTAAATTTCCAGTTGGAGAGCAGTTTTGGGGTGATTCAACATTTTCCTATTATCAAGACATTTTTAATCATCCAAAGAATGAAATCAATTCTGACAGATTTGGTGGATCAAAACAAATATACACTGATAACAAATGTAAGTATACTAGTAGTTACGTATTTGGTACTGATTGATTGTTTTCCAAGATAAATTTTAAAATTTCCAGTTGGTTTTAATACTACAAAATGCTGAAATAGTACTTTGGTTTCTTCACCTTTACACATTTCGTTGTGTGCTCAAAACGTAAAAATTGACACTGAGCCAGTAAGTTTGTCTGGTGCTCATTGCTTATTTATATGTCTGTCAACCAAGAGTCACTTTTTCAACCGTGAGAGTCACTTGTATTTTTTTATTTATTATTCTTTGGTCATTTTAACAGAAATTTAAGCTCAAATTTTAAGTAAGCTTGCAGTATTACAAAAGAAAAACACTTAAGATATAAGACTGTAATGCAGGAATATTTTTTTGACAAACCCATTAAATTGCTTTGTCAAATTGCATTTTAAACCAGAACTGATCATAAACTGATTTATAATGTGATTGTTATTATCCTTGTTAGATCGTAACATTGTTTAGCTACATGTGTATACATTATTTGTGTGAAAAGTAAAACAAAATACTAATAACATTCAACATCATGGCCTTAAATTCTAGTTTAGAAAAAAAAAAGAGAATGATGGTAAAATTCTTTTCTCTTTTTTTTTAGAAGATTAATTTTTAAAAATTGGTATGTATAAATATTTTTAGCCTAGTTCTGGAAAACTTAATTTGCAGGATAAGAATAATTATTCTGTGTATAAAGACATGCACAGTTGTAATTAAATGCTTTCAATCCAGAATTTGTGTTAATTGTAATTCTTGAAGTATTAATGACATTAAAGCTCAAGAGTTACTAAAACTAGACTAATTAATATATCACATCAGTGTAAAACAGCACTACAAATAGATATCAGAACTTGGCAAAAAATATTTGGAAAATCAAATTTATAGTACTCTACATATTACCCTGATCCTGATTACATCAGATAATGACGTGTTGCAGCCCCCCCCCAGTGGCAAAGCGGTAAGTCTGCAGACTTGTAATACGAAAAAAACCAGGTTTCTTTACCCATAGTGGGCACAGTACAGGTAGCCCATTTTGTAGCTTTGTGCTTAACTACAAACAGGCATATTGCAACCATGTCCTGCAGTTATACACATAACACTTAATTAGAAAAATTAATCTTATATTACTTTTACTATAAAATGCCAATTATATTTAAAACTTTGACAAGAAAAACATTAATGAAATATCAATAAGGCATATTACTGTGAATCACTGCTCCTTCCTAAGTTGTTAATATGTATCAATTACATGGTATACTTTTTTTACTTGTACACAGGCAGACCAAGTCTTTTCAGGTGGTTGATTTATGTTATCCGTGATAAGGTGAAACACTCCTACGTGGTATTCTATAATTATCTGTAGGACTATTGCCAACTTTGGACATTTGTGTTTATAGTACATTATTTTGATCCTTTGAAATCTTTCCCATATTCTAAATGTGGAAAGAGCTATTTAATGTTGAGGTAAGACTGAGTTTTAACTTTTCTTAATCTTTGATAGGTTGTTTAGGCAGAGTATTCATAATAAATCTAAGTTTCAAATGGAAAGCAACTGCCTGTTGTAGAAACCTACAAATGTAGGGGACGATGTTTCAAAAGTTTTCCGCCTTTCGTCTTAACTCTTCTTCTTTGACTAATTCCATGAACATTTAAGTACATATGTAAAAGTTATTTTTCCTAATAGCCATTAGACTGTTAATAGTTGTGATGAACATCCTTTGACTTGAAGCCTCTACTCTGAAATATGATACATTGTTGTTGATTTTCATTTCTACTGATTCATTTTGCTAACAGTGACTTAATTTTGGTGAAGTTTATGGCTAAAAGCATATCACCATGTTGGTATGCAGTTTCGTATGTTTTTACATCATACCATTTATCTGGTCATCCATTAACTTCAGTCTCTTGTAGCCAGATTTAAGGAGAGTATCAATGACATGGTTAATATGTATGATATAAAGAACATGCTTAATATATATGTATGATATAACGAGGATTAATCACACCTTATAAGATTCATACTTCCTTTATTGTATGTTATGCTTCATCTGATGGCCATGATTATGGATTATTGTCTGACACCACAATTTCCATTGTAACGAACATTTGCAAAGGATGATTTTGATATATTTTAGATTATGGCTTTTTGGTCAACTTTCCACAGACCTTCCACTGTATGTTAACATTGGCTGCCAAGACCATGTTTAAGCAGAACAAAAGTCCATTGGTGCTTCATGGGGGGCTTGGTAGATATGTATTTGATTGAGATTGTTGTGATTCCAGGTCCTTGAATTTTTAGAGATTATTGAGAATTCCCTACTTTGAAATGTTGTGTAATTTGACTGTAGAGTACATCTAAAAAGCACTTTCCATGAGACAGTGATAGAAAAACAGTAGGCCATCCATGCAACTGTTTTTATTCAAGATAAAAACATGCTGACATTTGAAGACTCTCTTGCAACTTCCTAACTACCAGTGTCACCACTTCTGATAATGGAACACTTGGAACATTAGAACAACATGGGCATAGTCAAATAGTAAGTGACAGTGAGTAAATCCGTGGTTCTGAATAAGACTTCGTCATCATAATTATTTGACAACAGATGTTAAGTGAATGTTTGGCATTTAATATTCAGAAATGTACATTGGATTTTGTGAGCACTTACTTTGTAGCACCTTATTTTAACTAGTATTTACAGAATTTTATGCATTTATAAATCATAAGACTGCAGTAAAGGTAAAAAATCCATAATATGTGATAATAAGCCTTGTCTTTATGTGTTTGAAAATGGAATTAAAAAAAATATAGTTTTGTAATAACCAATATTTATATAAACCATGTAATGGCTGATTGTTCTGCCTGATGGATTGCTATTGTCCTAGTTTTCTTTATTCCCAGGGTTTTACACATTAGCAGTGATTTCATATTCTTTCAATATTTATGGTAAAAAAACTAATCAACCAGTATATAAGACACTACTTTAGCTTCCTGATATGAGTAAGGTATGTGACAGAAGCCACTTTGTAGAACAGTCCATCACTTAATTGTAATGTTGGATCTAGGAGATATATTGTTGTAAGCGGTTTTCCTATAGTTTTCTACAGTGTTATTTTTAGGGTCGTTCTTTTCACTTTCATTCACTGATTTTGTACGTGGGTAGAACGGTTCCACGTTGGTTAAGGAAATTACTACTGGCAGTTTTGACAGAAAGGAATCAGTACAGGATAAGTCTCACAAAAAAGAAAAAAGTTTGGACTTCATTCATCTGGCACTTTTTTTTTAATACTTGAGTCATCTTTTTGATGCATTTGTGTGCCTTTGCAGTGATTTATTCCGCACAGTTTGAGGGAAAGATTTGTTTGTTAATGGTTAGAAATTTTTACTGTCAAACTTTTGTACTCCCAGATGTAGTGTGGTTGACACATCTAGAGAAGAATATGTTATAATGTGTCAACCACACTACATCTGGGAGTACAAAAGATAACATATTATTCTCTATCTTTTGTACTCCCAGATGTAGTGTGGTTGATACATTATAACATTATTCTCTGAGAAGTAGTAGAAGTTGTTTTCATATCCTCTCCAACATTATTTCAATAGCTGTATGTAGGTGTCCAGAATTTCAAGGTTTCAGGCAAAGATTAAGGTTCCAAATTAGTGATCTGGGTTGTACTATAGGCAGTGCTTTGTAACTTTTACTACATCTATTTCATGGACAGAAAATGTTGTCAGTTGGTTTAAATGAATCCATAAAGACAATACATTTCATTCTGTTGACTAGAGTGAGCCATAACGGGTTTCTTTCTCTGTTAGTACATATAGTGATATTGTTCATGTTTTGGGGTCTTTAACATCAATCTCTCACATTTGTAAATTAGACCATATAAAAAGTTTTGTTGGCCTGCTATATAGATGATTTTCAAACTTCAACTCGTGTCAGTCAAAGTTGACCTTGTCTTTTTTCATTTCACTCCTGGCATTTGTTACTAAGTGAGATAGTTTACATTCAGTGCAGTAGGGTTTTCTCAGCTTGTAATGTAACAGTTAGTATTCTCCAAATAATCTACATGTAATAAATAGTTCTGTTCAGTGTTGTCTCCATTTTAATTTTGGTGTGATCTTATCACCACTAGCAGTTTGCATCAATCCAAGCACCATTTCTATCTTTGAAAACAGTTTATCAACCTTGGATTTAATGTATGTTCAGATGACAATAGTTGTAAATCTTTTATATTGTTTGGCTTTAACTTTCATGGTTTGGTGAATTCATTTGCAAGTCCTTAAGTAGCAAAAATGGGACAGTGAAGTTTGTTCATCATCTAATAAACGTTTTTTTTTTTTTACAAGACTTAACCTTTTCTTTTGTTTTCCATTTTTTGAATGTGTATCCTAGTAGGCTTTCAAAAGAATATTTTAAACTTGTTTTAAAATGCAGTTGGGTTATTTTACTTGTGGATGTGTTATCTTGATTGGAAATAATGAAGGCAACATCCTTTTATCTATTTTTTGTATGGCTGGTATTTTCTACTGCATAATTATACATTATCAAATTTTAAACACTTTTTGTATGTTTGGAAAATTGCACAAATTTATCTTTTTTAGAAAATATATGTATTCTTTCCAGCCTTGAAGTGAGTTGATGTTGATTGTCTTGATGTTTCAGCCACTTTTGAATAAAATTTTAGATTTGGCTATTTGCACTCTTGATAAAGTCCAGTCTATTAGTGCTGTGGTTCCCATTGTGTTGTTTATAAGAGGTATTGGGGCAGGTCACAGAACAAGACACAGTAAAATGTATTTTTATTTTAAAACTGTGTATAAAAACACTATTGAACTTTACTGAAATATATTAGAACAGTAATACCCTCTACCTTAACACAAATAGATTGACTTAAGGTGTTAGTTATTGGTATTGAATTACATTAGTGAACTTGACATGTGGCAATGAATCTGTGTTCTTCAAGATTACTACTAAAACCACATATGAGCAAGATGTTCCACATATCCAGAGCTATGCAGTGTTTTCCTCCCCAGGTCTTTGGCTTGCTTGTGATACCTTTCTTATTTTATAGCTTGTATGGTGTTCATGAAATATGCTTATTTAGATGGCCAACAAATCATATGTTTATCTCAGTTTGGGTCTTGTATTCCTTTTGTAGAGTTATATTATAAAAATCATTTGGTGTTACACGCAAAAGCATTATAGGTAAATTATTGCAAATTTTGATCATTTTTATCTGACCACCTTATGAACAGTAGTGATGTTGCATTTACAAAAAAAAAAAAGCTTCTTCTGTGTACAAAAGAAAATTGTATATTAATTAGTAATGCATTCTTTATTTGATTTTATCATTTGTTTTTTCTTTTTGCAGGTTTGGAAAGTGATAAAGGGGATTGGCGAATACTACCAGGACGAGAAGATTTGCAGATAGAGCAGTCAGGAAAACATTCAGAAGAATGGCGGGATGGATATGGTGTCAGACTTGTACAGGCAGAAGAATTTTCATCCAGTTCATTGATGAAGGAGAGCTTAGAAAAAGATAACCCAGCTATGATGACAACTGAAGTTCGCAAAGAAAAGTGGATAGAATTTATGAAAAAGAGAAAAGAACATGGTCTTTTTCCATATTCCACTTCTGGCTTTCCCTTGCAGATTGATAACATGGTGAAATCAAGTCAGAGTGGAGTTCAGGCTTCATCTAAGATGCCATCAAATGAAGGTGATAATACGGGTTTCATGAGTGGAGTTAACTACATATACAACAAAACGAATACTGTAGCTCCTCAAAATACTTTGATGTGGCAATTACCATACCAAAATCAACAAGATTGTGGAAGAAATAGACCATCTGAAATAGGTGAAACTGCAGTACCAGAAAAACTAAGATCATATGAGTTACTGCCAAATAGAAATAATTTTGGTCATTCAAGTAATTTAGGAACTTTTAATACCAATCTTTCTCAGAACAATACTTGTATCTCCTTAGGTTCAACTCTTCAAAAACAGTCCTCTTTCCCTCTAACAGCCCTAGATTATCATTTGCCTCAAAAGCTTTTGGATACTTCTCAACAGAAAAATGTATCTACTGAGGCATCAGTGAAAGATTTTAGTGAAGAATACAGAGAGTCAATTGCTGAGGAAGTTGCTTCTGTTTTGACAAAATTAGGGGTGTCTGATATTTCTGAGGCAAGATTGGCTAGTGTTCTTCAGCACTTAGGATATGTGCATTGTAATAACTCAGGCTCTAGTGAAATAGTCCATAGAGAAGACAGATTAAGTGAAGACCAAACTTCTGTTTACAATACCATGTCCGGGTGGGAAGGAAATACCTCTCAAAATGCTTATGGTACTTCACATATTAATAAAGTTACAGAAGTAACCTCAAATTTGAGTATCCCCTTATCATATGGAAAACCAGCAATGTCTGATGAAAAGTATAAAACATATGTGAACTTGGGCTCTGGATTATTTTCCGAAGCATCAAAGATACCTACTGGTGCTACTAAATTTCCATTGCCAAATATTACTGTTCCATCATATCGTACCATTAAACCTTCTAGTTCTGAAATACCTAAATATACATCAAAAGAACAGTTGGTGTGTGTCCAGTCAAACTACCAAATGGGACAGTCCAAGCAAAGGAAAGACAAAAATAGCTGTGGGAAAGATATTCAAACAACATATGGCTGGAATTTTCAAAATACACCAAGTGGAATGTCTATCTCTTCACAGAATTTACCATCCACTCAGATCACTTCAAGCCCCTGGATTACTCCTGCACTTCATTCTCAAAGCATAAGCTCAAATATTACCACCCAAAATATACAAGTATCCCAGAACACAAACCCAGTTCCAGTAAACACATCGAATTCAACAACATCAACCTCTGTTCAACAGATAACTCCGATATTTCCACCACCTTTTGAGATAATTAAGAACTTCCCACCACCATTACCTTCAAATGTTTTGTTTAGTGGTAATATTGGTGTTAAACCATTTTTTCTTCCATGAAGGGGAAGAAAATGAAATAGTGAAATGTATTGTGTTGTTTTTTTACTGAAAAAGAAAGCTTAGAGTTGTTTAAAGGAGATAACGTATGGTTTAGATATTTTGACAGGTAATGATTGCTTTATTTCATTCAGCTATAAAAATCTTGATTCAAGCATTTGAAATCTAATCCAAGTGTATTTTTTTTGTATCATTGTAAATTTGAAAGAGTAATTAGATTTATTTACCAGCTATCAAATATGAGATGTAACCAAAAATTAAGTTTTGACGAGGTAATTTTATAAGTTAAGAAGAACACAAATCTTCTTTAGTTATCCTTCTTTATGTGCCCATGCTGCTTGTTTTTGTGTAAGGATTAGTTAACTCAGAAACTACGGAAAAACTCGTTTACTATAAGAATTCAATATATAAATTAAATGGCATTGCTTGTCATGTACATTCATACTTTGTGTTCAGAATTGAATAAGGATACTTGATACCAACATTCATATAGCAGATAACAAACATATGAGCAAAACAAAACACGAACTAAATATCTTAACGCGATGTTTAAAATGTGTTCGTCAAATTAAATGTGAGCTTTAAAAAGTGTGCTAAAAATTTTGTTTGTAAAAATGTGAGTACCATTAGGAATGACTTCTATATAATAGATATTTTGGCTGTAACAGTTGTTAGCCATATTGTTTGGTGGTTAATTTAATATGGAACTGTAGGAGACTGTTTTGATTATTGAATTACTTTTATGTATAGTTGTGCATAAATTTCAGTTGTTAATGTTAGAGACCACTATGGATTTGATGCTTTCGTCTATTCTTAATACAAGTAATTTGTATCACATGTTGCATCTGAGGTTCTCCATAAAATGTGGTGTTAAAGTAATATGTTTGTAAGAACATGTCAGTTTGATGCATTGCTGATTATGTCTCTTTATTTTGTATTACTAGTGTATACTGAATAAAAAAAAATCAGCTTTCATTTTTAGACTTACAGTTATACATGTATGTTTGGACGATTAGATATTTCACCAATTGCATATAATTTGTAGGTATTTTTTCCTCTCATATGTAACTTTTGAACTATCTAAGAAATTAAATAGATAAGTATTGGTCTGTTTAATGTTGTTTGTTTAATTAAACAGGTTACTGTAACTGTTCAGAAGGTATCATTAGTCCTTGTAGAGCAAATTCACAATTCTGTACTCTTAATTTGAAACAGTCAACACAAGCAGTGATTTTATATTGTTACATCAACAAATAAAATTTCATAGAAACGTTATAAGCTTGAAATTAATTAATTTTTTTTTACTTCACAGTGTTTAGTTTAAGCATGAAAAATAATTGCATATTTAATTTTTTTGTTGGAGAGAGCTTTCAAAGATTAAAGATTCTCATCAACATTTGACAATACCTATTTTATAATTTCACCTACATGTAACTACTAAAGATTAAGCTGAGAATACCAAATAAATAATTCACGAGTGTAAAGTACTAAAGACCTATACATTGACTACATTCCCATAAAAAAAGCTATATATGTATA